ATATATATATATATATGTATACAGTTTTTGTTTCTGAATTTAGATCCGGGGGTCACGTGCCGATTTAAGTGACCACTATTGCTTTATTGAGGTGTGTAGGGGGTCACGAACACATTCGGACACCCCCTATAGTCCACGTCACAAATTCGTGACTGTTCATATTTTTCCACAGGTTCGATCGATTACACGATCGATCATGGTTCGATCGATCCAACTTGGATCAATCCCATCTTTTTCCTGATCGATAGAACTTCATTACTTTTGCATAGAAAGACCGTATACCTCAATTATGTATCATGTTATTATATTAATGCCCAATGCCTGTGTTTTCCACATTGGTTGCATTCATACTTATTATGTTTAGCGTGTTTCACATATTTAAACATTCAATGTCTATACTTGGCTGCATTATCACTTGCATAGATTCATGTCTTTTATTCTGAGTTGTCTGTCTTACTTTGACAAACATGTTTCTATCTGTGTACCTTTATTTCTATATCCTATTACTGACTATATTTGCAAGTGTTTCTTTCTTTTTGCAGGCCATGACTTGGTTCAAGACCATAGCCCGACCGACGTATGACCGCAAGGTCAGACAGAGAGTAGAAGAGCCGGAGAAGCCAACTCTAGCTCAGTCCGAGCGCTCCTCCTCCTCTGCACCTGCTTCTACATCTTCATCAGTTCCAAAGGCCGAGCATATGCCACCTCTTTCACCACCACTGGTATAGCCAGGCATGGTTCGTGGCAGGGTTGAGCCCAGATATTCGCGCCTTTTAGTGGCGCATGAGTCAGTCTTCTATGAGACATTCTTTGCCCGGTCGGCCACGACTAAGTGGGCCTATAACGAGATCTTCCGACGCCACATTTCTCCTATTCTGTCCTTGATGGCCAATCTGGTATACTCGAAGCTCATCTAGTTGTTCTACCAGAACCTCTGGCCGGCCCTAAGTAACCTGGTGGAGTTACGGACCACCTTTGATGGCCACCTTATCTGCATTACAGTGGAAACGCTCGCTACAGCCTCCCACTGCCGACATGTCTGTCCTCCAGGCATTGACTATCCTATTCTTCAAAGGCCATCCGAAGCAAACATGGCCACAGCTCTTACAAGCCCCACTAGTACCAATGAGACATTTTCCATCAGGACCTATATGCCCCATTGCCTATAGTTCTTCGATTCAGTTTTATACCGAAATATTTTTATGGTGGGGCAAAAGATATAGAGGCGCTCAAATTTTGTAGCAGCCTTATATGCTTTCTACATAGGGCACTAGTTATCCGTTCCAGTCCTTTATTGGAGTGTTATGATGAAGCTCTATATGAACTACATCAGCAAGGCCCGGCCCAAGCGGGCCAAGTTCCTCCATTTCGCACACTTGATCACTCAGATTCTTAGGGACCAGTACTATCATTTCCATTCAGACGAGCGTCCTGAGACTGGGGTTTGCCACTAAGGTAAGAAAGACTGGAATAAGAACTACAATACTCTTATTAAGAGTCTTGAGGAAGAGGTCATCTTGGCTGCCGAGGAGGCTAAGGCTGAAGAGGCAGTAGCAGCAGTAGTTGTGGATCCGACAAATGCTCCGGTGGCTGAGGGTGCTTTCATGGACATTGACTTGGAGCAGTGGCCTCCAGAGGAGTCACCACTTCACTCCCTGGAGCACAGTCAGGATGAGCTTCAGTTTTTCGATCCCGCCATCCCTGATGCTCTAGCTCAGACACCCAGCTTAGGGGAGCGTATCCAGACACTAGAGGATACAGTCGTCTCCCTCTGAGCGAATGTGGCCTCTCTCAGCGTTGATGTGACTACCCTCTGCACGGATGTACTGACTACGCTGCAGGGCATTTCCAGAGACATCTGGGGTTCACGCCTTGCCAGACCATCCTCCTCTGCCTGATCTCTATCTTTCTCTCTCATTATTATCTTTTATGTTTTTAGACTACTACTTTGATACTGTTATCCTATTTTTGCGGCCAGTCTGTTGGCCCATCTACTGTGATGTACTTTATAATATTTATTTTATTATTTTATTTTATATTCACGCATACTATTTTGGATGTCCGATTTTATTATTGATTTATCTATTGTTGATTGACTCCATTATCAGGTGCATCCCAGTGACTTTAGTGAGAGAGTGCTACCTAACTTTTTCAGGACCACCCTTATTCCTCTCTTTCTTTATTTCATTTCCGATCCCACTTACACTTGCTTGCCCACTGTGCACCATTATTATCCCATTTGTTATCTAATGAAGTTTTATCCCAGTGCTATATTTTTAGGACCATAGTTAATCCCAAGTTTGGGGAGGTTATACCACCCACTTTGTATACTTATGTCCCGCCCATTCATCGCTATAGTTGTACTGGTATACTCTTTCCTCTCTTTTTTGTTCTCTTTGTACATTGAGGACACTATGCTATTTAAGTTTGGGGGTAATGTATGTTCTTTGTAGAGTTTGCATTCAATTCAACAAGTTGAGCATGACTTGTGAATTTGATGGATTTTCTATGATTGGTCTATGACTAGCTATGATTTTGATCTTTTGAGGACTATATTGCTTAGAATTTAAAAATTGCTTAACTTGAGAGTCTAATACTCCTTGTATGCCTTGTGGATGTCATTTAGGAGTAAATTTTTTGAAAGATTGATAGCATACTTGCATTTGTGGTCCACATCATCTTGATTTTGTGATTGTTTTGAGATTTACTCTAGGATTCTACATTAGCACTGGCGCACACTAACATTCATTTGTGGGGTACTAATGAGAGTTGAAAAGTGCGTATTTAAACCCTTTAAGCTCGAGTATTCTAGAACCTTTATCTATCTTATTTTTCCGTTATAGACTAATTTCATGTTATTGCCCTTTTTAGGCGTTTATCCCCAAAATAAGTCAATTCAGCCAAGTTAGAGCATAAAAGAAATAATCTCAAGCTAAATGGAAGAAAGAAGCAAAGTAGTGGAAAACAGTAATTTTTGATCAATCAGACCAAGCCCAAATCGATCTCATAGTGATCGTTCCAACCATTTCAAGATGGATTGAGCCTTTTGTCATTTTCCTCACCAAAGTACCTGCTTCGATCGATCCAAAAATTCTCTAATCGATTGAACTTCTTTGATCTTATCCCCACCTGCCACTTTTGTCTTTTTCCCAAAATATCCCAAAAATGTCTCAGATTTGTCTTATTCGAAAAATGCTCCGCATGGTTAGATCAATCTCACAAGAATTCAATTGATCTCACCAGAGTTCGATCGATCTCCTAAGAATTCGATTAATCGAACCTCCTCAAATTCAAATAAAAACAAAGTCCAGCTCATTAAAAGAGGGCTCGTGGTGCAATCATTGAAGGGGCCCTAGTGCACGAGACCTGACCATTGGGTGTGACACTTGAGCCACCTATATTACAATTTTGAGCCATTTTTACAAAAGAAGAGATAGACAATCATAGAGATACATAATCTTGGAGAGGAGTCTAGAAAATTAGAGAGATATACACTATTTGGGAGTTCGTCCATTCATCTAGGGTTTCTATCAAGAAGAAGATCATACCTACTATGGAGATGGCCCTTGAGGGTTGGATGACTACATCAATGAGTGGCTAAACATCTTCTTGGGGCTAGAGTTAGCCCTAAGCATGCCTTCTAAATCTTGATGTTTTGTATTTTGAGGGGACTTGTGTTGTAATTCTTGTCTTAACATTTGATTTATATATGAATCTTGTTTCTACAATGATTTATGTTGCTTACTACTTCCAATTGGTCATTTTATTCTACTCATATATGTATGTATGCTAGAATAGATGTTCATGTGTTTATCTCTAGGTTTTATGTTATTGATACATGTCTATGTGTATTGATGCTATGGATCTAGAGATTGTCAAGGCATGGTGCTTTAGTGGAATACTCTTGTGGTTTGTTTGATGGTTCATACTTATTTCTCGATGGATTGTGCCTCTACCTTAATTTAATTAGTTTAATTTTCAAGTCCTTAACTTAGTTGTAGTGTAGTCGCCTTACTTTCTTAGATGTGAGAACAATCCATGCTTATTATTTGATGTTCCATGCTTATGAGTGCAAGTAGTATAATTCTCTAACTTGTTAATGTGTTTTGATTGTGAACTTAAAGGAAGGAATAATGGCTTAGTTTGATATATTGTGCTATTCATTAGGTTGCCTAGACAATGTATACTTAATTAGTCATCCATGCTTGTTGATTCAATCAATCACACCTTTTGGTATTGCAACACATATTTCCCTCATTCATTACACATTGAGTATCTAGAAAGGTGATGTTTAGTGGTGACCTCTAAATCCCAAGATCCCTTTCTCTTATTCTCTACCATTTATTTACTTTACACTACAACAAATCTGGCTTTTATCAACGCTTTACCAGCGCTTTTGAAAAAGCGCTGGTGAAACCTGCGTCGGTAGGGCTTTACCAGCGCTTTTTCAAAAGCGCTGGTAAACACCCTATGCCAGCGCTTCTTTAAAAGAACTAGTAAATACCCTATACCAGCGCTTTTGAAGAAGCGCTGGCATAGGGTATTTACCAGCGCTTCTGAAAAAGCACTGGTACTGGGGTCATTTTAATTTTTTTTTTTTATTATTTTTTTCCCCTTATGCCAGCGCTTCTTCAAAAAACACTGGTACTGGGGTCATTTTAATTTTTTTTTTTTTATTTTTTCTTTTCCCCTATGCCAGCTTTTTTTGAAGAAGCGCTGGTACCGGGGTAATTTTAATTTTTTTTAATTATTTTTCTTTTCCCTGTGCCAGCGCTTTTTCAAAAAGCGCTGGTACTGGGGTCATTTTATTTATTTTTTATGTTTTTTTCCCCCTGTGCCAGCGCTTTTTGAACAAGCGCTGGTGGAGCGGTCACTTTTTTTTTTTTTTTTTTTTTTTTTTTACAGCTACTAAATGTCATCCAATATAACACAAATTAATATAAAAATACTATCCAAATTATTTTTACATAATAGAACCACAAGTTAACCTGCTGCCAACATGAAAAATACCATCGAAATTGGCTACTAATTGATAAAGCTGGTAAATGTCAACCAAAAAGCCAAAATGTATACTAATACAACCACAAGTTAACCTACCACTATGAAAATACCATCCAAATTGTCTAGATAAAGCTACTAAATGTCACACAAAAAGAATTAAGAATTTTTGACAAATGTAGTACAAGTTTTTCAAAAAGGACCCATCCAAGGGGAAGGAAATTTAGAAAGCACAGGCACGACCCCATCTTCAGCTTCAGCTTCAATTTCAACAAGTCTTCTTGCCCATTTGATCTGAATTACCCTACATTTTTTATAAATTCATTAAGCGCACATTATAATAAATGAAAATTTAACATATATATAAGAGAAATTAAAAGTTCATAACCTTAATTGAATTGGCATCATGACTAGAAAATGAATTTGGGGACACTCTAGGAGGAGCATTTAAAGAATCAGAACCCTTCAAAATAATAAAACAAAATACATGAAATCTTGACATAAGTAAACATATATTTAGTAAAGAGTAAAATTAATAATAAATATACCTGTCCACTACAATTTTGTTGTTGCATCTGCATTAGCATAGCCACCTGTTGTTGTAAATTTTCCAACTTGTCGTCGTAGTTAGCTCGTAAATTTTCTAACTTATTGTCATAGTCGGCTTGCATTTTTGAAATCATCTCCTGCAATTCTACACGTGCCTCCTTCTGAGATTTTTTCACATTATTAATCAGTTCATCTTTATTAGGAGAGGGCCCCCAAACATCGCTTGGTGTAGGCCCAAAGCCAAGCATCCGCATATGACCAGTTCTCTCTTCTCCCCTCACAATGGAGAACAAATCATTGGAACTACCAATAGGCGAGTCAAAGTAACTTTTTTGAAGTTCTCTTATGATTTCCTAACAAAAAAAAAAAAAAAAAAAAAAAAGTTTGAACTACCATGACATACTGCTACGAAACATCCAGACAAATCTAATGAAATGATAGAACAGGAATGCAGAAACAGCTGAACAGAAAAGTAATTAGATAACAAATTAGTAATGACGAAAGCCAAGTGTTCTGAAACAACAGTGCATCACACAATGTGAAAATATAGTTGTGACATCCCTTTGAACTTTCATACAATCTCTAAAGCTTCAAAATATGCTGAGATAGGATCCGTGTAACAACCCCTAAGGGGCACTTGTTTTTTTGTTTTTTCCTTTTTTTTTGGGTGGGGGTTGGGGTTTTATTAGGTGACATTTTTAATCCTCAATTACTTGAACATTCATCTTTTTCGATGAAAATCAGGTGATAAAATGGCTTCCTTTAAAAGAAGGTTGTGCTTGGAAATTGGGATACCATGTTTGTTAAACTGCAGCAATATTAGAGTAATGTACTGTATTTTTAGCTTTTCCATTAGATGTAAATTTAGCTTTCAAAAATTTTTATTATCTACATTCTACCTAACTTTTGTTAATTACTCAATCTTGGACTTGTTTTAAAGGCTACTTTCAATTAGATTGAGTACAGATGTAGCATTTGTCATAATTTGAACAAAATTGCTTCTTAAACTCAAATCCACATTTGAGTAATTTGAACTCTACCATTAAGGCTCCTCTAATGTCACCAAATCTGTTTTTTATTTTTTTATTTCCTTTTCTCCTTATAAATTATATAATTACAAATGTTCTTATCTATGTTTAAACAAATCACATATCTTGTTTCTATATCCTACTAAGAAAAAGAAAAATGAGGCATCAAGTTTTGGATTATGCAGAAAACAAAGATACCATGCAGTGATGTTTCTAAAAAATTGTCAAGTTGGGTAACTGCTGACAAATTGTTCAGTGATCCGGAAAATGACTGTATTTCTTAGTCAGTTGTCTCAACAAAATTTTCAATGTAAAGCCAAAACTAATCGACCATATCCTCAAATTTTCTGACTGGAAATAGGTATTTTATTGAGAGACTACATAAGCGCCAATTATTTGAGCATGTAGTAGAATAATCTGAACATTCAGTTCTAGCAAAAGTCTGAACTCTACCACTTTATTTTATTCTCTCTATTTTAAAAATTCAGCTGCTAATTTTTCAGTTATGTTGCTTTATTGTTGCAATGATATTGTTCTGGTTGTACCATTTATAGCATATCATGGTATGCTCTATAAGTTTGAACACAGGTTGGGAAGTATTTTTTAAAACCCTAGATTCTAAATAAAGCACAAAAGAACTGAAATCCCAACAAGCTATGAACATGCAATGCTTAAATATACATGTGTATGTATAATATATATATATATACCTAAGCTTTCATGACAAAAACAAAAGTATTTAAATGAAGTAAATAGAGAAAAGATGAATGTAGCTTCACAAACATCAACCCTTGCCCTTGGAGAGAGGGAGTCAGAGAGTCAGAGGAAAAACAACTGCTAACTTGTATGTATGGGTTTTGTTTTAAATTTTTTTCTAAATCAACTAATCAGGCTCTGTAATTCTTGTTTCGCAAACTAAATCCTATTTGGTGAAATTTTTTATGATCTTTTTTATATAATTTTTTTTTTTACAATATAAAGTAACAAAATTTGCATTGCATTTTGAGGTAATCACCGCAATCTACTTTTTATTTCAGCAAAAAAATAATAATAATAATAATTTCTATAACTTCTATTCCTGTTTTATTATTATTATTATTTTTTTATTTGTTGTCCATTATATATGTCTACAAGAAAATTTGAATTTGGGCATGAAAAAAAAATAAAAAATAAAAAGAATTTGAATTGGATTGGAAATCTACAGAGATTGAATCTGAAACAATTTTTATCAACATGCCAAGCTTTTCGAAGATGGAAATCTTTTCAGAACTAAAAAAAAAAAAAAATCACAAGAAGAACTTTGACAAGCAAAAGTAGTTAATTGGTCAAAAGAAGAGATAGTCCTTAATCAATCAATTGTCTAAAGAAACATTGTTAATTAACTAAAATTGAATTAAACAAAAGTTGATTTTGGTTGATATATTTTGATTTAGCCCACCCCATTGAGAAATCCTAGATCCACCCTTAGCTCTAGCTTTTACATGCTTCCATTTGTAAGTCTCTCTCTTGTTGATTACTCATTGCAGATTTGAGTTTCAAAGGAAGATGAACAGGGTGGAAATGGGTTTGGGGGAAAATCGGTGGGCACTTGGTGGAGGCAGTTCATCGACTTCACTCCAAAAAGAGTGTCATTATAATGTTTTGTTAATGTTTCTTCCTTATCCTACATCGACATTTGGTCCATTTGGACCACCATAGGGTACTTTATAGATCATGAACAAGTGTTTAGTGGCCTTTACATAGCTTGTATATAATATTTGAAGTTGTCTACATTCAAAAGACCATTGCCACAATATATGAGTAAGAAATTAACACAAACAACAAATAGCAAATACTTCTCCTTCACAACACAAATCAATCAACAAGAAGCCTCCACATACAATGATCCCATACTCCCATGCTTTTCAACAAATACAAGAAAGTAAATTGCCTCCACACGGGCCAATGATTTAAAAATTGGTCACTTCAAGGCACATGACCCCTTAATACAGCGTAAAGAGTTTAAAAATTGGTCACTTCAAGACACGTGACCCCTTTTTTGCAAAATGGAAGCGTGAAAACTTACAATCATCTCCGAAGCAGCAGCATCAGTAGCTTTGCCATCCTTATTTACATGTGCGCGGATGAATAAATCTGCACGAGAAAGCTGAATACTTTCGTCTTCCTCAATCTATAAAAGAAACATAGACATTGTGATATATATTATTTACCACTAACATTTATAATCATTCAATGACATAAGAATTGAAATAATTTATATTTTCCATAAAAACTTCAACTAACCTTGGCAGAAATACGTGCAAAGCTTTTTGTCCCTGTGGTATGCATCATTGTCTGTTTCCCACAACGTTCTTTATTTTTTTTGCCGACCTCCTAAAAAAAGTGAGAAAAAGGAAACGTTCTTTGAGTAAAGAACATTCCTCTTAAAATAATGACTGAAAGCAGATAAACTATAAATTCAACTCACTGACTTCAAAAAACATTGTGATAGATGGAGGATTACCTTCGCCATAGGCGTACCCCAATGCCTAACCAAAAATTCCCAATGCTCCTTTTCAACATCAGGTGGTGGGTTTGCCAATCTTTCTTCATCTGTATCCCTAACCGAGTAATATTCATTTTTTAATTTACACTTGTACCCCCTCCATTTTTTCCGATGGAGGATAATATCCACTGTTTTGACATGATTCCCACATCATATTTTCCCTGAAAATGTGATAATTGCTGCATGTTAGTCCACTTTTTCCATAAAAATTATTTTAATGTTATTGGAGGGTTTTACCTTTACAATGTTCCACATATCCTCCTTCAGCCGTTTAGGCATCTCCCACCAAGTTTTGTGCACAAAAGAGCTAATCTATCCTTCCGGGCAAGTGTTCCCAAATAATTAGTATATGTACCACTTCCAGAACCGATCGGCTGTCCAAACTTATTAACCCTAAACAAAAATTAACAATTGTAGATGTTTAGTACAAAAATAAAGATAGAAATCATTTTTTCTCCTTCACATTGAATATAGTCTAATTATGTAAACTATATAAGATGATCTATATATATATGTACCTTAAAGGTAATAAGGTTGTCGCGTCTATGACATTCTTGCATCGTGTTGGGCCCTGTCTCTTCTTCGGCGGTGGTTGGGATGATTTTGAAGTTGAAGCTTCGGTATTTTTTTCACTCACTTTTTCCACTTCACTAACCGTTCATTTCATTGTCAGCTTATTATTTATCCTTCCTGGAAAAGCCTCCAAAAAAAGTGAGAATTCAGTTACAAGAATGCAATCAAATTGTTAAAAAAAGCGGTCCAGGAAAAACCAATAAAAAGAAATAAAAGTATTTTCATATTAAAAAACGATCATCTAGCAAGTGCTGACCACATTTACGAGAAGAACTGAAAGCTACTAAGATTTACAAAAGTAAAATGAAAAAGCAAGAGACCATGAGCAAGGAATAAAGGAGGATGGTATACCTAGAAGAATTAATCTAAATAGCAGGGCCTAGGGAAGAAATCTATACAATCAGTCTTATTTTTCAGGTCATCATCAAGAGCCAAGTAGTTGCTTTTCTATTTCATTCAAAGACTTGTTGAAGGAAGGTTTGGCCGAGTAATATTTGCCATCACTTGTGATGAATTAAATTAAAACAAATAAATAGAGACAGTCCTGTTCTTAGTCTCATGCAATTCATGTTGATATATTTAATGGATTTGTAAGGCTCTCTTACTCCTTGATAACGAACTCCTAGAATTTACAAATCCAAACACAGTCCAAAGTCATGTAAATATTTTATCAGTTTATATTACCAAATATGATCTACTACAAGAATAATATACAATTATGATATTTTATGCTTCTGCTTGCACAACCAACAGGCATTTCAGGAATGACACCATTTATGTCAATTTGGATGACATGTGTAATATGAAGTACGGTACCTTTATGGATTTCGTCAATATATAGGATGGTTGAGGTTGTTGAGCACTTGTATAGAAAATATGATAAGCAACAAAAATCTATTTATCACAGGTTTTTAAAGTAGCATCATTATTCATTACCTGATCTATAAAGGCTCTCAACCAAATGATGAACAGAATAATTTTGATCAAGACAACACCCAGCCTGGCCTTGCTTTTGGTGTCAAAAGCTGAGACAATATATGAACAAAAAAAAATTCAGTAACAAAAGAACCATGGGTAGGATCGCTGAAAGATGCAGAGAAAACTAATAATAATAGCATAGTTGTCTTAATATAGTATCCAAAAACTTTTCTTCTTTTAATGTTATTATGCTTTCAACTTTTAAATGGGTGGTGCATGAGTGTGTATGAAAGCAAATAAAGTACAACTCACAGGCTACAAGCAATATCTAATAGCAAACATAACACTAAACAGAGATCGAGACTAAACCTTTTTTTTCCTAAGATCGCAGAAAAAAATTTAAAATAAAAAATCATTAAAGCCTGGACATTTGAAAGATTAGGCACACAACACTACATAATGAACCTGGGTTTCATAGCTTTAAATTATAAGGACTCAACATCAGCAACGAATGAAGACCTCATCGGCTTAAATTAAATATCCTTCTTTTTATAAGTACCATTGTATTAGAAAGCATTCAAAAGTTTGAAGGCATCCCACAAAAGCAACAAGGACTAACTAGGACCCTCAGCCTCACAAAATGTCTCGGCTTAAATTCAATATCAATAGCACAGTCTGCACAGCATAAATCCAAGTATAGAGTATCAACTTTACCACTTAGCACTCAATTAATTTATTATTTCAGAAATAAAAAATTGTAGTAATTTTAATAGGATAAATCAGGCATCTTGATCGCATTAAAAAAGATGAAGCTTTCCACTCCACTTCTTGAATTACAAGATTGTTTAAACACCTCAAAACTAGAATTCAAGATCATTATTAGATCCACATACAAAAATAAAGAATGCACATGCCAAAATCATAACCATCACAGAATACAATCAAGTAGCATAAGCAGCACTCTCTCCAGGAAACACCAACAATAATAGAGATGGGGGGGGGGGGGGGGGGGGGGGGGGGGGGGCGGCGCAGAAAGAGTAGGATAATTAAAAGTGATATCCTCTGCTTGTCCACTATCGCATTGCCCATTTCTCAATAAATTTAAAAACAAAAATGGTAAAAGAAAAGAAACAAAAAAAACTTAGGGAACAAAACATTGTCACTGACACCAAAATATATGCATGTTCTTGAACACTTGATTGAAACTGTTATGTAATACAATAGAAGTGTTGCAGACCCACAACTAGATGGTCCTTTAAATGGATATTGTCTGGGTTGAAAATCAATGTCATAAGATGACTCTAAAACATTAGGTCATCAGAACTTGCCAGCAACTATTTTCAAAACTCCCTCTTTTTCGCTTAGGAACTTGAAAATTTATCATAACCAATCAAATAATCTAGCATCAGTCAATCATCCTACCATTTTATCATGGTCTAACATCATTGCAAAAGAGGAACAAAGAAGAAGAAAGCCAGCAGAATTTTTAAGTGAAAGTGGCATGGAAAACACATGTTGTGGAGAATCATATCTCAATTGACTCTTGAAGTAAAGTACTCCGAAAAATTTGAATTATATTTTAAAATTTCCCTCTTCCAAAAAATTACATGTCACAAGCGTGTCTAAACATGTTACTTCAGGTATGGTATTTGCACTTCTTATTCTTAATGGAAACCAAACACTTGTTTTATCCAACATTCACATCTTCTTCTGGTTCTTAAGTACAGTTTCTGCATTTAAAAAAAATAATTAAATTTATAATTTTTGCTATTTTTTATAAGTAATTATTTTGCTAAAATTAAAAAATAATAATAATAATATGCCAAAAACCTAAAATAATCGTCTTCAGCCTTTAAAGAGATACTATACTATGCTAATGGTAATGAACTTGCCATCAAAAGCATATATCTATCTTATGCATGACAAGTAAGTGAATACTAAATGGAATTTGTGTGATAAAGCAAGTTGAATCTTTTGGCACACACACAAGCAACCCCACCCAAAAAGGTGGTTGGAAGCAATTCATGGAAAAGTGATTTCTAGAATGAACTTCCTAAATAAACTTTAAGCCCTAACTTTTACATAAAATACTAGATTTTGTTCCATTTGACTAAAAATGCAAGTAGTTGTAATATATATGGTCTTTTCTGATTTAAATATTAGCCTCTAGCCTCTCTCAAAGCGCTGGTAAATACCCTATATATATTACAACTACATGTTAACATCACAACAAATGCCTTTGGCCTACCATATCTATAACACCCATTATCAAGATCATTATGGATCACATGCTGCTATTGTACTGTTCTGAGGTAATCAACTGCTGGTAGACCTAATACAATTCACACTGGTGTGCTTACTTGTCTAAAGCATAGCCACAATATAAGAAAAAACACACACACTGTTGTGTGTCTACAAACAGATGCCTGAAATTTATTATGAGATAATACCAATCTTGTTTGTTTGTTTTTTTTTGGGTAAATAATCTTGTTTTTGTTATTTGTATCATGTGATAAAGATTGATCGATCCTATCTGAACATTGCAATCTTTCAGAAACAAAGAACTTGCTTTGTGTTTGGGAAGGCATATTATATAAAGGATATATAACAGCAAAATTGCATATCACACCACACAAGAGTAAGCTTGAAGGATGATTTGATTCAGTGGACCACAATTTTAGTACAAGAATGACAATTTGTATTGATTGAATTCATGTGCTTCCTTAGCGCCATTCAAAGAAAGAAAAAAAAGGTAGCTTTTAGACCTGAACAGCAAAAGTATAATACTAGTAATCCTCATAGAATGAGTTAATCAACATCGAAATTGTAGGAGCTTTTCTGCTGCTACTACTAAATATTCTACTGGAAAATTTTCGTCTACCCAATTAATCAAACGATCAATGAAAGAATTTGTTGACACTTTTGCATCTTACATTGTCAATTTTAAGATGCCTCTTAAGGGCTGCTTTAACACATGTCTATGAAGCTTGAGTCTTAGCTCAATATATAAAAAGGGAATTAGCTATCAAGGTGTTCCAACCCATTTAATAACCCATTGCTCTCTCTCTCTCTCTCTCTAGACAGCATTTCCTGAAGTTGGTTGAGCTCCTCAACCAAACACCCATTCCACGTCACATTTGAAATTAAACATACAGTTAGCCAAAAACTTTAAAAAAAAAATTAAAACAACAATCTTAGGAAATTCTTAAGAAATTTTTTTTTTCTTTGTTTCAAAAAGGATGTCTTTTTTAATAAACTTTTAACTCTTAAAGAAGAACGTTTCTTTTAGGAAATTCTTACTACATACTTCTTCTGTCCCAAAAAAGATTACTCTTTTAGAAAACTGTACAGAAAAAGTATACAGTAAGAGAATTTTTAAGCCCCATATTTTTGTATCCTTAATTGTCTTAGAGGATCCAATTTTGATTCCCAACTAATCATATTGAGATTTGTTTGAATTTTAATTAATATTTATATACAGTATTATTTTAACCACCAAACATTAAAAAATAGTAATAATAATAATATTATTAATTTTAATTAACAACAAACTGTATATTATTTATATATAGTTTTCTCAATGTTGGAACAAAAAAAAAAAAAAAAAAGAAATTACCTGAAAAACGAAATCAGACTAATCAATGACAAAACTTGTTCCAACAATCCAAGCTACGATCGATTATTTCCTCCTGTACAAAGAAAAAAAATTTGAAAACAACAATCTTAGGTACAGAATGAGATCAAATAGTGGTTGCAGAATCATTGAAATTGGGAGGATGCGTTGTCGCGTGAACTAAATTCCAATCTCAAATCTGCTTTGGCTGTTTCCGTATTCCCGGCTTGATGACAGCACTTCTTCCCCTACCCACTCGAAGCCGAATTGCTTCAAAATCTACTTAAATGATGTCGGGAATAGGAATGGTTGGGTTGGGAATAGGAAGATAGAGAGAGTGATGGTTTAAGCTTTCACTTGAAGAACTTACATTGTGAAAAAGAAGTTCGAATCGTTGACTGGTGATGGAAGGGCGAGACCGTGATGAAAGAGAGAGAGCTGTGATGGAAGGCGAGAGAACAGCTGAAGGATTAGGGCTATTGCAAAATGAAAGGATTAGGGTTATTGCAAAATGAAATGGGAAAGTGGAGAATACAATGTTAATTCCCCACAAAAACGACGTAGTTTTAGGGCCCAAATATTCTATATATACAACAAAGGGAAAAAATGGAGGGAAGGGAAAAAAAATGGAGGGAAATGGAAAAATGGGGACACCTATACCAATGCTCCTAAAAAACGCGCTGGTACTATTACACCTATACCAGCTCCTTTTCTAGGAGCGCTACTATTACACCTATACCAGCGCTTTTAAAAAAAGTGCTAGTACGATTACACCCATACCAGTGCTCCTACAAAGAGCGCTGGTACGATTACACCGCTGATACGATTACACCTATACCAGCACTCCTAGGAAAAGTACTGGTTCCATTACACCTATACCAGCGCTTTTAAAAAAAGCGCTGGTAATATTAGACCTATACCAGCGCTTTTTTTAGAAGCGCTGGTAAAAACCTAATATGTTGTAGTGTTAATTACTTTGTATTGAATTTGTTTACATTGTAGTTTAATTAACCAATCAAACCACTTTTTGATCACTCGACCTACTAATCCGACCTTGTTTCCATTTCAAATACACATCCGATCCCTTGGGATGATCCCTACTCACCCCAACTATATTAGTAGTTAGAGTTAGTAGTGGCATTTTATAAATTCAAACTTGGCCACACTTACACAATTTGGTGCATTGACACGACTGCACACCAAGTTTTGGCTCCGTTGCCGGGGATTTGGCAACGCCGTATTTTAGAAACAATTAAAAATTAGTACTCTTTTGATCGTGTTTGTACTTTACTTTATTTTAGTTACTTATTGTGTTTGTTCTTAATTGGCTAGGTGAATTAAGCAAAGGAAGTGAAGTAAAGGAGAATTCTAAAGCAAGGAGCTAAGCTAAGCATAAAAAGGCTAAAATCTAAAAAATTGCAAAGTTAAGTGAAAACTGAAAACTGAATTGAAGTTGCTTAAGGACCCTTTGTAAGCTTTCCTAAACTCAATCTCTAGTTAGATCATGAGCCTATGTGAAGGCATGTTTTTACTTTCTTAGATAGATCGTGAGCTCGCGTGGAGGAAATTTAATTTTTCTTGCATATTATTCAAATATGGGAGTATTGGATCATCGTCTGTGGAGTATTGTTGATTTGTTATAGAGGAGAAGTGATTGTTATTTGCTTGTTGCTTGTTTTTGTTTTATTTGTTTGTGTATGCATGGTCATAGGTCGTTGAATCCTACTCTTGTCCCACTTAATTTGACTCTTAAATCCATTGTTCGTAATCCTAGGGGAAGGGGTAGTTCTTATCACTCCATTTTTCCAATGGAAGAGCAAAATAATGACCATGTGGAGGACCTTGGTCACATAAACCAACAAGGTATCCTCTACCCTAATGTGCATCATGACAATATTCAAGTACCATTAGGCATGCCAAGACCATTCATTCCACCGCAACAATAAGGCCAAGTTCCATTGGGAATGCCTCGGCCAATTTTTGTTCCACCTCCACCTCCTACTCCTATTGCTTAAATAAATCAAGGTGTTCGTGTAGCACCACCGGTTACGAATCCTCCTCTTGCTTTGCGTGATCATTATGTGCGAAATGAATATAATGCACCCACTTGCATTCAATTGCCCCCATTTAGAGTACATCACTATGAAATTAAACCATAAACTATTCAAATGCTTCCTGACTATCATGGACTTCCAAGTGAAGAACCTTACAAGCATTTGGATGAGTTTCTTGAAGTGTTTTCCATCGTGAAATACACGGACATGCTATAAGAAGTCTTAAGATTCAAAATTTTTCCTTTTACCCTTAAAAACAAGGCGAAATATTGGTTCAACAATCTTAGGCCTTTTTCGATAACTTCTTGGGCAAAAATGCAACAAGAATTCTTGAAGAAGTACTATCTGGTTTCAAAGTCCAATGCAATGAGAACTTCAATTAAAGAATTTTCTCAAGGGGAAGGGGAATTGTTTCATGAGACATGGGAGCGCCTCAATGACTTGCTTAGGAAGTGTCCACATCATGACACACCTGGTGTGCTCCCGTCACGCGATGCACCCAAATTGCAATGAAAGTGTGACCAAGTTTAAATCTATAAAGTGCCACTACTAACTCTAACTACTAATATAGCTAGGGTGAGTAAGGATCGTCCCAAGGGATTAGTTGCGCATTTAAAATGGAAACAAGGTTGGATTTGTAGGTCGAGTGATCAAAAGATGGTTTGTTTGGTTAATTAAACTACAATGCAATTAAAATTAAAACAAGCAATTAAAGTAAATAAAGTAAAGAGCACAATAGAGAGAGGTCTTGGGATTTAGAGGTCACCACTAAACATCATCATTCTAAATACTCAATGTGTAATGAATGAGGGGAAATATGTGTTGCAATACAAAGAGGTGTGATTGATTGAATCAACAAGCATGGATGGCTAATTAAGTATACATTGTCAAGACAACCTAATGAATAGCACAATATATCAAACTAAACCATTATTCCTTCCTTTAAGCTCACAATCAACACACCAACAAGTTAGAGAATTATACAACTTACATTCATAAGCATGGAATATCAAACAACAAGCATGGATTGTCCTCACATCTAAGAAAGTAAAGCAACTACATTACATCTAAGCTAAGGACATGAAAATTAAACTAACTAAACTAAGGCAGATGCACAATCCATTAAGAAATAAGTATAAACCATCAAGCAAACCACAAATGTATTCCATTAAAGCACTATGCCTTGACAATCTCTAGATTCATAGTATCAACACACATAGACATGCATCAATAACACAAAACCTATAGATAAACATATGAACATCTATTCTAACATACATAAACAAATGAATAGAATGAAATGATCAATTGGAAGTATTAAATAACATAAATCATTGTAGAAACAAGATTCATATATAAATCAAATGTCAAGACAAAATTACAACACAAATCCCCTCAAAATACAAAACATCAAGACATAGAAGGCATGCTTAGAGCTAACTCTAGCCCCAAGAAGATGTTTAGCCACTCATTAATGTAGTCATCCAACCCTCAAGGGCCATCTCCATGGTAGGAATGATCTTCTTTTTTATAGAAACCTTAGATGAATGGAAGAACTCCCCAAATGGTGTAAAGCTCTCTAATCTCTAGCATCCTCTCCAAGATTCTCTATTCTATCCATGTATATGAATATATTGTAAAAGTGGCTAAAAATCCTTATATAGGCAGCTCAAGTGTCACACCCAATGGTTAGGTCTCGTGCACTAGGGCCCTTTCAATGATTGCACCACGAGCCATCTTTTAATGAGCTGGAATCAGTTTTATTTCGGACTTGAGGAAGGTCGATCGATTAAATTCAGATAAGATTGATTAAACTCTGGCCAAATCTATCTAAGCATGACCAGATCGATTAATCCTTCGCGGCACCTTTTTGGAATACGACAAATCTTTGAGGTATTTTGGGATATTTTGGGAAAAAGGCAAAAGTGGTAGGTGAGGATAAGATCAAAGAAGTTCGATCGATCTGAAGGAAAGTTGGATCGATCGAAGATGGAAATTCTTGAGGATAAGAACAAGGGGTTTGATCCATCTTGGTGAGGATCGACCACTGTGAGATCGATTTGGGATATGTCTTATCGATCGAAACTTGCTATTTTTCCACCACTTTGCTCCTTTTTGCTCTTTTCTTCCATTCAGCTTGAGATAGCTTCTTTTATGCTCTAATTTGGCTGAATTGACTTATTTTGGGGATAAGCGCCTGAAAAGGGCAATAACATAAAATTAGTCTAAGACGGAAAAATAAGATAGATAAAGGTTCTAGAATACTCGAGCTTAAAGGGTTTAAATACGCACTTTTCAGTGCTCATCACACCTCCAAACTTAAATATTACTAGTCCCTAGCAATGAACTACAAAGTAAAGGAATGGAATAAACAACCATACAACTATGAACTAGAAAGCAAAAAATGAATAACGCCACTTTCGTAGGGAACACGATTGCATTTAACATATGCAATAAGCCTTTTAAACCCTTAGGTTACCCCTAGTGGACAAGTGAAGTCTCGTGAGGGTTTCCAGAAATGATACCCACAAACATTAAGCTCATTCTCTCTAAAGAGGCACCAATATTGCAAACAAGCATTGGGAGAAAACTACCTCAAGTATGCAATTTTTCAACCATTTCCAAGCAATCTCCCAAAATCTCAACATTAAGCAAACAAATATGGTCCTCCACACATCAAGAAAATGATCATGCAAATCAAAACAACTCTAGAATCCTTTTTGAGTGGACCGGCATCAAGTATGTTGCTATCTAAGCTAACTAAAGAAATGATCACATCCTTACCCTCAAACTAGCACACAAATCTATTACCGATCATCAAGACAAAGAGTGGACCATTTATTAAAGTTGTATTGTTCTAGGTGCGCTTATTCTTTTCACTCGATTTTTTTTTTTTTTTTTTTTTTTTTTTTCTAATCCTAAGGATCAAAGATGGAAGCATAGTGCAATGTGTTGATCTATTAAGCTTTCTAGCGATCCATAAGGTCGAGCATTAGGTCAATGACTCCCAAACCAGACGACTTTAGGGCATTAGGTGTTCAAACACCCCTAAGGACTTACAAGCTCAAATCAACTAGGGTACAAATCAAAAAAACCTCCATCTAATAATTTTTCATTTCTCACCTTTTGGGAGAAGTCCTCACTTTTTATTACTTTTGTAATTTTTTTTTTTTTTTTTTGGTGTAGAAAGTTCAATTATTAACCTAGAGTTTAGGCACTCCACCTTTCGGCACGAGAAATTCAGTGCTTGATGAGGCTAGAATCCCAGGTACTTAGTGAAAAGGGTTTGTTATCCACCTTTATCAAGAATGAAAGCTTTCAATGAACTACTAGCTCAATTGAGATATAGCCAATTCAATAATCAACAAAGCATGTACCCCACAAATGACTGCTAGTGTGCGCCTGTGCTAGTGTAGAATCCTAGAGTAAATCTCAAAACAATCGCAAAATCAA